AGGAAAATTTAATGGAGGGAATGTTGCATTATCTGCAGCACAAGGAGGAAATGTTAAAATTTTAAAACTTCTGGCAGAAAGGGCGTGACATGACATATAAAAAGAAGGTCGGTTGTAGTATTCTTCATATTGCTTGTATGAAGTCTAAATTAGAAATGTGCCAATATATCATCCAACATTATCCAGACATGCTTAATCATTTAAATGATAATGGATGGAATGTCGCATTATATGCCGCACAAGGAGGAAATGTTGAGATTTTAAAATTTCTGGCAGAAAAAGGCGTCGACATGACATATAAAAATAAGGATGGCAGTAATATTCTTCACATTGCTTGTATGAACTCTAAATTAGAAATGTGCCGATATATCACCCAACATTATCCAGAGTTGCTTAATCAGGAAGATTACAATGGATGGAATGTTGTATTATATGCCACACAAGGAGGAAATGTTGAAATTTTAGAACTTCTGGCAGAAAAGGGCGTCGACATGACACATAAAAACAAGGAAGGCTGTAGTATTCTTCATATTGCTTGTAACAATTCTAAATTAGAAATGTGCCAATATATCATCCAACATTATCCAGATATGCTTAAGCAGGTAGCTAATGATGGATTGAATGCCGCATTTTATGCTGCACAAGGAGGAAATGTAGAAATTTTAAAACTTCTGGCGGAAAAAGGCGTCGGTCTAGCATAGAAAAAAAGCTAAGCGGTTTTATTCTTCACACTCTTTGTTAGAATTCTTAGTTTTTGTGCCATATTAGTATTCACCATTATCCTGATATACCGGTATCTAAGCAAGTACACAATGCAGGAAATAATGCCGCTTTTAAATTTGCCTCCTAGGTGGGCGAAGTTAAATCGAATATTAGAACTTCTGGCAGAAAAGGCGTCAACTTGTCCTGTCTTAGCGCAAAATACAGCATTAAACATGTATGGGGAGTTTGAAGCGAGGCACAAGATGCTGGGAGTATTACAAGATCAGAACAGAAGCAATGTGGTGATTTTGATATTAAGGATAATTGTTTGACCTCTCGGCAGAAAGCCTTTCCAAATTTTGTAAAAAACCATGATGAATGCGTTAACTAAAGTGGTTTAAATGTTTGAGTTTATTAACTTCCAGTACTACATGTACACTGAATTAGGTACTTTGAAAAACCGTTTGTTTTTTCATTTCTCATTACTCCTACAAATTTATACCACGGTAAACAATTCTCTACTGAAGAATAAATAAATTCAATTAATTTTCGCTAATTAATTTCCTAATGCACCGATAAAATATTCTAGCTTTAAAATATCCTATAATATACATTCAAACCTTAGGTTTCTCTAATTTTTCTTTTGTTTGACCGGTACTTAATTCTAAACTATCCTCTGATATCTATATCCTTTTTAATACTTTATACAAAAATCTTTGCTTGTTTTAATGCAAAACCATTTGCCTCTTTGTGAGTATTAACAGGTGGATGTGAAAGTATGACTGAGTGTGAAAAAGTTTATTATATCGGATCTTTCGCTTGAAATCGTTGACAGATGAAAAAACATATGCGACGATTGCAACGGTAACTTTCGAGGACTAGCAACACCTCATAAGCGATGTCCTTTATTTTTATAAGAAAAATGGTCTTTCTGTGATATCGATCCTGTGTTTCCAGGATACACATTTTACTGATGATTTAGAACCATATATAGAAGCTCAATTGGGATATATATAAATGTATTTTTTGGTTTATCAGATCCAATTCACGTGGTGTAAGTGTCCTTTTTAATAACAAGTTTGAATGTAAAATTCATAAAGAAAAAAAATATGAGGGAAATCTAGTAGCTCTAGATATTACAGTCGAGGATAACAGAATACATGTAACTCTTATTAATGTTTTTGGTCCAAAATCCTGATTGTCTATATTTTAATGAAAAATAAATTCGTAAAATCTATTTGGAATTTGATAATGATTGTTTTATATCATATGATGATCTAAAGCTTGCTTTGAACCCTGATATTTTGATACATATGATTATACTTATGTTAACAACAAAAAGGCTAGAGACAAACTGATAGAAGTTATGAGGGATCTTGATATTGCTGATTACTTCAGAATCTCGAACCCCAAAAAATGTGTACACGGGGAAAAATCCCAGTAGGAAGGACGACTTGGGTATATTCTTACTAGATATAAACACCCGTGCAAGTGCGGGAAATTGAATTTATATACTAGTAGTTACCATTTACAACAGAAAATATATTGTAGTTGTAAATTGTAGTTTTTACTGAGAGACTACAGGCCGGCTAGAGGGAAGAAATACTTTGGTCAAAATTCCGCATGAAGTAGATGTACATGTACGTCAACAACCCCACCAACTTTTTGTGAAAACGTGTAAAATAAAAATTTCTTTAATTGACGTTAATGTGAAACCTAATACAATGTTATGGATATTGTACTTCAGATGTTCTTATTTCATTTTCATGAAGAATAAAAACAGCGAATACATGTATACACAATTTACAAATAAAGTGATTTTTTTTTGGGGGGGGGTGTAAAATTCACAGGTATTTGGGTCTTAGTTTATAATTATATGTGTGCGTTATCGATATGTAAGAAAGGTTTCTTTTTTACATATCAATAAAAGGTACATCCATGTTCATAATCATAAACGAAAGCCCAAGTACTCGTGTAAAAATTAGCTTTGCCCCCTCCCCTTTCCGTGAATAGGCCGAGTAATAGATACAAAAGACTTTTTTTTAGAAAAAAAGAAATGAAATGTATTTATTAAAGCACAAATCTTTACAGCTTTAATTGTATTTGAACAATACCTTATTGGTAAGTTTTCTCTTTATTGTAAGCAATTTAATTACAGAGTACAAATTGTACGTCGGGTTCGTTGCTCTCGATGCTCTCAGTATAGAAAATACATTTTAATGGACAAAGTCATAAGAAAAGCGTACATGTACTACATATATTTTAACTTATATACAATTATTGACTGTTTAGAAGGGATACATCACCAATTATTAGGTCAGTAGGGTTGTCACCCTGAGAGCGATTGCGAATGCAAATTTTGCATGTACTTATTATACTTAATTAAGTTCCCCAAACGAAGTTGAGGAACATATTGTTTTTACTCTGTTTCTTATAATAATTATTTTTCTTCCTGGGAAAATTTTGTCCACGAATATTATCTTGTAAACTACACATCCGTCTTAGGTGAAACCTTTTTAGGGTCAGTAGGAATGTTATGTAGATTTGCCAAACGAATGTCATTTTGCGCGCACATGCTTGCAAGAGCGAGCACGTGCAACACGTGAAATAACCAATATATTGTAAATTGCCGTAAATTTTCTATTTTTTGATGAAATGTTTTGAAACTCATAATATAAGGATATATTTGTAGCATAAACAAGAATGACATGGTCAAAATAGCAGATCTTCACGCGCATGCACGTGTGCTTTGCTCTGATTGGCTGAAACTAAAGTCTCAATATCTTTCTTGTTGTCTGACAAAATCCTTTGAAATTTTGAACATAGCAATGCATTAGGATATCCTACAACATGATATATAACAATTATCATAAAAACACGTGTATGCACGTGCGCTGCAATCTGATTGGCTGAAACTTTAAATAGCTATAACTCCCTTGGTTTTCAACAAAACAGAATGGGATTTGGAACATAGATAGATATAATGGATTTCTACAAGAAGGTATGGTCACATGCACATGCATACACGTGCGAGTACATGTACGTGCGCTGCAATCTGTTTGACTCAAACTTTAAACAGCTATAACTCCCTTGGTTTTCAACAAAACGGGGTGGGATTTAGAACATAGATAGATGTAATGGACTTCTACAAGAAGGTATGGTCACCATGCTCATGTATGCACGTGCGTGCACGTGAAATGAGTAAAATAAAAAAAAACTTTGAATGAGCGTATTTTTTTGGATTAAATACTTTAATATTCAGTATATTAAAATATATAGATATTTGACAAGATCATATGGTCCAAATGCACATACATTCACATGCGCACGCGTGCAATGCTAAAATTTGAATGAACTTGGTACACTTCCGGGTAAACGTTGTTAAAGTCTCAAATGCATAGAGTTTGTCTTATATAATGAAGCTTACAGGGAATATGGCACAGAAAAAATAGGTTGGGAGCGTTTGGGGAACATCTGTAACGGTCCGCGTTACAATTAGCACTAGTTACACTTGTCATAAACCCATTAACTACATTTGACATTCCCCACTGATAGATTGCCATTCAGATGAAATGAACACAATGGTAACCCAATAGACATTTGATATTTGTCTAATAATATAATCCCTCTATTAATAAATATTAGTGGCTTTCCCGGCAACAATATGCTTCTGATAATTTCCAAGCATACTTTGTTCGTTTACCAAACTACTTGTATAGATTTTTTATTGTATTTAAATTTAATTTATGTAGCACCATTTTTGTCAGAAAATGACTAGTATTTAATCAAATAACCCGTTTATTACATTATTTACAATTATTTCTTGATTAAATCATTTGTTTATTGGCTTGATACACAGTAGATATGTACTTTTTTGGTCAGAGTTACCCACATTGTTCATTGTTTTTGTACACAGTAGATATGTACCTGTGGGTCGGTATACCCATATTGTTTTGGTACACAGTAGATATGTACCTGTGGGTCGGTATACCCATATTGTTTTGGTACACAGTAGATATGTACGTGTGGGTCAGTATAACCATATTGTTTTGGTACAAAGTAGATTTAATTTGTACCTGTGGGTCAGTATACCCATATTGTTTTATTGTTGAATGCTCATAATGACAATCAATATGAAGTTTTTTTGTTATTGTTGGGTCGAAGTTACTTATATTGTTTATTGTTAGGTTGAAGTTACCCGTATTGTTTATTGTTGGGCCGAAGTTACCTATATTGTTTGTTGTTGAGTCAGAGTTAACTATACTGTTTATTGTTTGGTCGGAATTACCCGTATTGTTTATTTATTGTTAATTTGAGAGTTACACTTATTGTCTATTGTTGGGTCAGAGTTACCCATAATGTTATTAATTGTTGGGTCAGAGAACACATATTGTTTATCGATGGGTCTGGTAGCCCATATTGTTTATTGTTAGGTCGGAGTTACCCATATTGACTATTGTTAGGTCGGAGTTACTCATATTTTATATTGTTTGGTTGAAGTTACTTACATAGTTTATTGTTGGGTCGAAGTTACCCATATTGTTTATTGTTGGGCCAGGTTTACCCATATTTTCTATTGTTGGGTCAAAGTTACCCATATTGTCCATTGTTTGTGGGAATTACCCATCTTGTTTTACTATTGTTGGGTCAGAGTTATCCATATTGTTTATTGTTGGCTGGGAGCTACCTATATTGTTTATTTATTGTTGGGTCAGAGTTTCCTATATTGTTATTGATGGGTCATAGTGTCTATTGTTGGCTGCTCATAATGACAATCAATTTGATTAAAACAAAAGTAAAAGGGAGATAACTCTAAACATGATGTTCTAGAAGCTTCAGTCAATATTGGGATTGCATTGGAGGTTGGCAAAAATAATTTGCGCTTGTCGCTTTTTAATCGGATATCACAACTTATTTCTTTTATATTATTAAAATAAAGTTTTGATTCAATAATTCAGCACTTGATAACATTTTATGAAATAAATAATCGATTCTTTGT